GGATAATTATGAGGTTTATGAAAGTAGGACATTTGAATTTGAAATATGACTATTGAGAAAGTATTGCATTTCTACTGGTTTGTGATTATAGAAGAAACCACTGGGAACCCCTGACAATTTTTAAAAATGCTTTTCATGGTACGATTAATGCCCAAACCAATCAGAATTTATGACAATATGTTCTGAATCAAAATAGTCCCAGTGCGGAATGTGGCACAGACATATTTTATATGCAAAAAAACTACATTTCTTTTTTTTTTTTTTCTACAAAGATAATGTATAATGATGTAGAAAACCTTTATTCATGGATAGGAATCCATACATATTTGCATGTGGAAAATTGACTACAATTCTATTTGGTTTTTTTTTCTGACTTTATAATGGTAATACATTAAAGGATTTGAACTTGATAATATACTTAATCTGTGAACAACCATTGTAAGGTTCTTTACATGGATGCAAATTGATATGGAAATAAAATTTTCAAGTCCTATGTTCACACTGAATTACATAAATAATTAATTAGTCTTGCTGAAGCTAAAGTTTCATTCTTTTTGTAAGGTATCAGCCAATGTTTTTTTTTCATGCCAGGAAGATGTCATCAGATCCTGTGTTTCCATAGAGAACTGTGCAGTTTGCATTCAGTACCTTTTTAACTGATTAATATCCAGGAAGTACTTGAGAAAAAAACAAAAGTATTGTGCTTTCAAGTTACTTTTGGGTTGTGGTTAACTTCAAAGTAGCTTTGATTGCTGAACAATATAAGCATAAGTAAAAAAAAAAAAAATTAAAAAATTTAAACTTACAGTTTTAAAAGATCAAATGTGAAATACTTGAAAGTGCACTTTTCTCTGAAGACGTTGTACAGTTAATCTATCCTGTTAAAAGGAAACCCAGCTGCAGGACAAGACGGAATGGGCACAAACTGGAACACAGGAAGATCCATCTGAACATAACGAAAAAACCTTTTTTACTTTGAGGGTGGCAGAGCACTGGAACAGGCTGCCCAGAGAGGCTGTGGAGTCTCTTCTTTTGGTGATACTCAAAACCTGCCTGGATGCGTTCCTGTCCAGCCTGCTCTGAGTGATGCTGCTCTGGCAGGGGGGTGGGACTAGTTGATCTCTGAAGGCGAAACATTCACTGTCCTTTATTGTGAATCGCAGAATGATTGGAATAATAATAATAATAATAATAATAATTGTCATCCTCCACTGTCACTACTCTTGGTCCCTGTGTCCTGGTATATTGCAGTTTTCTTCTTCCTACCTTTTCTGACACTGCCTCTGTGTTTGATATAACTGGAAGTTATTGAAGAATGAAGATTTTCTGCTCTTGGCCCAGTCTCTAGTTTCATTTGGGTCAGAATCATTAATTCAAAGAAAACTGGATGTTGTTCCAGTAGACCCAGATATTCTCAGTTATCCATAAACAGTCTTGGTAGGGGAGAGAGCATGTTTACTGCCAGTGGAACCTTGGGAGATTTCATCTGTTAAACTTTGAGGTCAAAAGTGGATATACACAAACTGAGGCTTTTGTCGAATCTTGGGGCTTTCCCATATTAGGAAGATTCCGTGAAAACGAAGCACCTGACACGTGGCAAATTCCTTGCTTTAAATCAGAGAACAGTAAGACTTTAAAAAAAATAAATTACTCACCAGTACAGTGTTAATTTTTTTTCTTCAGCTCATTCTTGGTCATGGCTTAATTTTTTTTATTTTTATTTTTTAAACTGAAAAACATGCAAAACCCCTTCAGTATGATTCAGAGTCGCTGTAAACTTCATCTGTAATAAATGATTTAAATTAAATTATGAGCAACTCTAAACAGGAAATGAAGGAAATGTCAGGTAATCTTAGTATGATGTGCTGCCGAGGTCTTTCATGAATAAAGGGATTTCTTTTTCTATTTGTTCATGGTAATGAAAATGTTTAAAAAAACAAACAAACAAAAAAAACCAACCCACAAACCACACAAATTTAGTCTCCTTTCCTCTATGCTCTGGAATAGAATTCCATTTCTCTCACCTTGTTGCTTGGCTTGATGCAGCATGACCTCTCGTCCTGAAGGGCTGATGAGGAACTTAGTAATTATATCTTTGTATTTCTGTTAAACTGCCTGAAATTGAAAATAACATATATGTTCTCCTCCCTGTTGCACTGTTGGTTTTTTGGGTTTTTTGGGGGGGTTTTGTTTTGTTTTATTTGGGCTCTATTCAGCAGTTATACTGTGTTCTTATATTTCTCGTTCTGTCTTCGACTTTAGTGGATCGGAAGGTGAAGGTCAGATTTCTAAGGCAGCCAATTATTTCTCACTTTACCTTCAGCTCTTCAAAAGACAGTGCTCTCAACTCAGTTGAGAGTTGTTCATGTTTTTCCTAACTTTTCTGATATAATCTAATAAAACAAGAAAAAAAATTTACTTATATTGACTAAATAGAGGTTCTAGGCTAGTTGGGTTTCTGTTTATTCTTTTGGGGTTTCTTTGGTTGTCATTCTGGTATTTTTGTAGTAATTTTGTCAGGGTAGGTGGTTCAAAGCTATTGACAGGTTCCTTTTCTTGTGAAAACTTTCGGAGTTCTAGGCACAATGTTACATGATCTGTTCTGGTCAGAGGTTGAAAGTGGAGCAAAAATAATTTTCACAATTTCAGATCAGTCTGGACATCTAGCTCAAAACAGAAGTGCAAATCTGACCAATTCCTTTTAGATTGTGGAAGGTGCATTTCTTTTGATCTTTTGTGGTTTTTAAAACACAGCTGTATAATTATTTAAAAACAGCACCATGAACACAAATGTTCCCTGTCATCCCAGAAATAATGCCCCCAAAACAAACTGGGTGGCTTGTGGCTCTGTGTGTGTGTTTCTCAGTCACCACTTTTACATAAATGTATGAGCCCAGATTTACAAAGGGCATATGAAGACTCAGAGAATAATTTAATTTGGAAGGCTCCTTGGCATTCATCAGAGAGCAAAAGCTGCAGCTCCGGTTGGGGGTTCTGCACCATCTACCCCAGCGGCGGCTGATGGTTCCACCGAGACAGGTGCTGAAGAGAGAAACTGTAGGGCAGACCTCAGACTGCAGGAGGTGCCTTAACGAATTTTTGTGGCACACCTGCCTGCAAAAGGTGTGCCCAGGTGGAGGACCTCCTGCAGCCAGGTGGCTGAGCTGCAGGAAATGGTGAGAAGGCTATCTAGCATCAGGGAAGCTCAGGAGGAGTTAGATAGATGGTTCCAAGCACAGTCTGCAGTGGCCCCATAGCCCACGGCCTGTATGGATGAGCAAGGACCTGCTGGACAAACTTAAACAGGAAAAGGAAGCCTACAGAAGGTGAAAGCTAGGACAGGTAGCCTGGGAATAATACGGAGAAATTGTCCACACAGCCAGGGATCAGGTTAGCAAAGCTAAAGTCTGGAGTTAAATCTGGCCAGGGACATCAAGGGCAATAAGAAAAGCTTCTACAGGTACATCACTAATAAAAGGAAGACTAGGGGAAATGTGAGCCCTCTCCAGAAAGAAAGGGGAGACATAACTCATGTGAGAGGCTATAATGTTTACTAATTGGTCAACACGCTACTGATAAATGAATTAATAGATTAATTAGCTGATAAATATACAACTATGAATCACAGTTATATAACTCTTTACAGTATTGCTAATTGCACACAACTATTGAGTTACCATTCTATCACTTTGTTCTTATATTATTGAATGCCAATTCTGTAAACCCTTCACTTTAACCTCCCATATCACTTAGTAACAAATTTCAGATGTAGACCCAGTGGTGAGTCCAGTGGATTGCCCAAGGGGCTTTCTTCTGGTATTCTGACAGCCTTGGTTATTGAAGGAGGTCAGCTTCATTATCATCCGTGGGTATGTGTACTTGTGTCAAAAGATTTGCCCTCTCTTGTTCTTGAACTGCTTTTACAACTTGTTTGTAATTTCTTGCTTTTCTAGACCCTTCTCTGTCCCTTTCTCTGCCTAGTCTCCTTTCAAGTAAACAAGCTGCCCCTTCAATACTCTTTCCTCATTGCTCCAATTGACTACAACCATTCCCTGGTGTCGTATTTCTAAGACTGTTTCCTAGGTAATCTTGGTCCCAAACAGTATTACTGATGTTATTACTTAGAGAGCTATGGATTTGCAAGATTCTACCACTACAAAAGATGCCCAAAACTTCCTTTCTGCTTAATATCAATTACATATTGTTTATTTTATACACTTTGTTAGACACATCAGTCTACTTCAGCCTTTTTTCCTCTGCCTGGTTTTGATTAAGTGTGCTTTACCTCTATTCCACTTAGCTCTTCCTTGGTTTATATACAAGTGCCACAGATGCCAGGGCAAGGAATATACCTTTATGTGCTTTTTCTTGTTCTGTTTTTTGTTCACACAGTATACTACTTGTCAGGGAGCAGTGAGAGTCAGCTGGTCCCTAAGGGAAGAGGAGCAAGGAACTGAGCATAAAAAGGCTTGCAGAGGCAATGGCCAAACCAGCAAGGGCTCTGTCTTTCCCTAGCGGTATTATCTCAGAGTTGGCCCTGAGTCCAGGCTACCAAACTTCCAGCCCCTTCCAGAAGGGGGGAATGCTCTTAGCTCCTTTCCTGTACTCTCTCTCAGATGTTCCATCAAAAATCATTAGCCTTGGCATCTGCTGATCATCTCCTCATTTTCTGCAGAGTCCCTGTCTTGTTACGGGGTCCAGCATTCTGGCAGACCTTGCTTACGATGTCAGTCTTCCCTTACATTAGGACCAGATACTTTTCTGTTCTTAGAAAAGATGATTGGAAGTGAAGAAACTGATGAAATTTGACAGTGTCAAACATTAAATGGTGTCAAACACCAAATTTAAATGGTGGCTTTTCAGTTATGTCTTGCTTATATATTTTGAACTTTAGTAGTATTTATTAATGATCAGTTGATCAGTTCTGATAAATATAACCTTTATTTATGTTAAACTTTTTACGAGACTTTTAAATGTGTGTTTCTTTCTGTTTCTTTTAGTGTCTCCTGAAGCAATTGGATTCCTGTCTGCTGTTGGGGTGTTCATTGTTCTCATGTTGCTACTTTTCCTATATATTAATAAGAAGATGTGTTTTGAAAATGTTAGTGGTTTCCCAGATCTTGATTCAGGATACACTACAAGAAAGAATTCACAAGATAAACTTTGTAAGTATCTGAAATACAGTGTACTAACCTTAATTATAACAATGCACAATTTTACAAGGATGTGTAAAAATACACAAATAATCACTTGACTTAAGTGATGAAAACACACAATGTTGACTTCCTGTGACTGTGCAGTATGTGGAAAGGAAAAAACCTTCATATTCACAAGCCACAGAAATTCAACAGCTATATTACCGAAGAGTTGACATTTACTTATGGGAAGATATTTCTCTTGTACTATAGGAATACTCTTGAACATATTTTAAATGTTCCATAATTATGTATAATTAAATCTTTTCAAGTAAATTTGTGAATGGACTTACTGGGTTTTCACTCAGCCTATTAGAATCTTTCACCGACCTTTTGGAGAAAGTCTTGCATTTACTCACCTAGAAAAGTATTTGAAAGAAGTAAAACATTAGAAACTGAAGTCATCTGACCTCTGGAAAACAAATTATTTCTATATTTTTTAAAATAGACCAATGTCTTTAAGGATAATGTGAAATGGAAAAAAGAAAAAGACCTTGCAAAAGATACTGAGGTTTGATAAAATACCCTTTTTTACTTTTTGGCTGTGGAAATTGAATAGGCTTTGTTACCTGACTTGAGAGGAAGAGAGAGGCACCAGAGACCAGAATAGGAAATTTGAGTTTTTCTTCCCTTCTGCCTCTTTAAAAGGTGCAGCTAAATTTTTATTTTCAGTTTTCTTGGAGACAGAAAAAGTTCTCCCCCCTGGAAATTAAGTTGGTCATCTTAACTTTCTTTTTGCTACAAAACAAGTCTTCATGTTCCGAAATATCTTACCTTATGTAAAAGACAACAAATGTTTTGGGGTAAAGAATCTCCATGATGCATGTTTTTATTCAGCTATTATGTTAAAAGCTTGTTTTAGTGTGACATTGATGAAAGGACATAATTTAAATGTCTCACAACTTCTTCTTTGCAGGTTAGAATAAAAAAAAATAATGTTTCCACCTCACACAGTTGTCTTAGTTTTGAAAATAATGAATTTTATTATGGCTAGTTGATGCTGCAGTTGATGAAAGACTGTAGTTTTGCTGGTTGATTGTGGCTTCATTTCAAGATATTTACTTAGTTGCTTTCTCGCTATTTTCAATGCACATTGAATGGAAAGAGCAAAGCTTCAACTTCCCCGGTAAATGTATTGAGTTAGAGATAGCAAAAGCCAATAGCTCTGAACTTGGAGAAACTGAGTTGATCAGTTTGTGAAACAGAGGACCTTTCTATATTAAAAGTTGTTGCTGAATAGATTGGACAAATGGCATTCTTCAGAAACCTCCAGCAAAATCTGAGCCTTCCCTCTGTGTCTTCTCTGGTGGACACGCTTAGCAATGCTGTGGATGATCTGACCAGTGCTGTTGGAGAAGTTGGCTACTGTGTAGCTGATTCAGTAACAGAACAAGTAACAAGCATGATAAATGGCCTTCGTGCAGAAGATGAAAGCTCCAAAACGCAGAATGATAAACCTATGCAAGGGAGAGAGGAACATACACCATCATTAGCTCATTCTCAGGAAATTAACATGAAAGCAAAGAGAGGAGCTACAGAACATAAAGAGACTCATTATTCTAATTCGTTAAGTTTTGTAAAAAAAGATACAAGTCAAGATGGAGCATCCGGCCATGTTGTGGGCAAAAACCAGTGCCAGTTAAAAGGCAGAGATAGTGATAATCAATTAAGTGATACAGAAGTACCTCAGAATTTGAAGAATGTAGGAGGATCTTTTAAAAGGGAAGCAATAGGAGGAAATGAGTGTTTTGTAAATGATAAGTTCTTGAAGGATAGTAACCTGGAAAGTAATAAATTTACAACAGAGCAATCTATTGAGGAACAAGATAATTGCCTACATGCAGTATCAGATAATTCTAAGAATGAATTGCATAGAAAAATCAAATCACGGTTACCTGGAATTGATTTAAAGGATTCTGAAGAAGTGCACAGCATGAATGTTCCCCAAGATTTAGAAACAAAACTTGTTGAAGTACAGAAGCAAAAATTATTAGACTCCAGCTTGAAGAAGACACACAATGACCATCCCAATTGCATTAATGAATTCAGAGAGAAGAAATCTGAAGCCTTGTTTGACAGGAAAGGAAAATCTGTATCAAAGGATGAAGGCAATGTGTCAACTACAACTGCAAAAGTGGGTAAAAAGAAAAACTCAAAGAATACAGAAAAGAATTCAAGAGAGCTATGTAATAAGAAGACAGCAGGAAAAGGTGAGGGGTCCGTCAGCAAACTGCGTTCTTCAGTCTTTCCTGAAACTTATGATACTTCCTACTTTTTTCACCTATTTTACATATTTAATAATAGTGTTTCTTGTGGATGAAAGTAGGTCTGTGTTGTCAGTGCTTCATTCTCTAATTACGTTGATACTTCTTGGAAGTTAATTACTTTTTAAAGTATTACTTAAAGGAACCGATTAATAAATGGCTTTCCTATGCTCTAACTTTTCTTTTTCTATATACAGTTTTTCTTACCTTCTCTGCAGTGCCTTGCGTGGTTTCCATTGAATTATTTAATGCTGGAAAGTAACACTTGTTCTGTGAAAGTGGCTTTTATCTTGTGTATTTTAAAAGCATTGCATAAAATGTGATAAGATGATAAAGAAAAAAACCCTTCTGTTATATTTACATTACAGTAGATCTTCAGAATGTATTTCTGGGATGTGCAAGATAGTAATTTCAAGACACAAAACTCAATGACAAGTGGCAATTAAGTAATTTTAAGTATAGAAAGAACTGACTGAGGCTTGTCTTAAAGAAATTTGTAGTCTTACAAAGAAAATATATGTATTATTGGTATGGATGCTGTGTGTGCCGTCTTCAACATCCAGTCTTAAACAATATGACAATGGGATTGCAATAATAGTTAGTGAGTAAGAAGTAAAACCTTGCATTCTTACACAATTGTTTTACAGGCTGTGTAGTGAATTTCTAGAAAGCAACACAGGCTTTTCTGGTGATGCTTTTTCTGAAGAGAAGTGAACTATTTTGTAATAAATACCAGGTTTGGAGTTTTTTTTCAGTGTGTGTGCTTTCCCTTATCTGAAAATTTTACTTATTTGTTTTGCTGGTTTTTGTTTCTCTGTGGTTTTTTGTTTGGTTTATTTTTTTTAAATTTGATTTAGGAGGTAGTTTCCATGTTTGTTTGATGAACTAGGTTCATACCTTTATTTCTTCAGGTAATATCATATTTATCAAGTATATTCTCTATAAAAAATGGCATTTTAGGTGCTATAATAAGCAAATTAACAGCTTTCAACAGGTTAATAATTACATATGACCCATGTTAGCCAAATAAAGGGAAGCTTTTAAAAAAACCCCATTAATTCTATTAGGCAAGTCTCTAACAAAGATATGAAAATCAGAAGAAAAGTGGCAAGAAGAGGCATAAAACCCTGAGGGCTCTTTTTAATGTGTAGGAAAGTATTTTTTCCCAAGCTACTATTTTTTCCCAGGTAACTGAAACAGATATTTATTGTACATTTTAAAAATGTTTGCATGCATAGCTTGTGTTTTAACATTAATGAGATTTTTTTGAAGAGGTCTTGTTTCATGACTTGTAATAATAGTATACATCCTCATTCTTTCTCTTTTGCGTTAGGAACGCAGAAAAAATACCTGCTGTCACTGAAAACTTCTGGATGTTTACATACATGAGTGTATTATTAGAGGCATAACTTTCAGCACTTCTTTCAAACATGTTGCTACTGTGTTTTATACCATTCCATTCTTTAAACTTTATGCAAACTATTTAATGAACATAATTTCATATTTGTGAATATGTTTCTTGTAATGATAAATGATGCATCTAATGGTGATGCCTGGCACTGTATTTTATGCCCTAATTTTAATTGTGGAAATCCACAGAAGATTCCTAGGTGTTGAGGGCCAGCAAGCAGGCTCCTTTTTCTGGGTAGGCTCTGGACAGTGAATCTGCTAGCCAGAATATATCCTACTTATTTTTCAGTAAGTGATAAGTGAAACCGAACTTGCTTTATAGCCATCTGTACAATGGGAAGAACCATATCTATCAGACTTGAATTAAAATTACTAGCCTGGAGTTCAAAGATCTAGATGCTCATTAGCAGTCTTTTAAGCCACCAGTTTTCCTATAAATACCAAATTAAGATTATGTACACATTGCATGTAGAGCAGGTAGCACCATCTGCAGTTAAGGTTTCCTGACGTTTTCCATTTCAAGACCTTATTTTCAGTTGCTTATATCTGTGTGCCAAATTTGAAATATTTGGGATTAAATTTGGCATACTTTCCATCTGAGATTTTTTATTTTTTTTTTTAAGCTACAGTTTAAAATCTTTAGCTATTTCCAGGAAAAGAGCGTGGGAAAAACATGCTGATTATCTGTGCAAAATAAAAGTACATTTCACAACTGCTTCACTAAGATGCTTTGTCACCTTTGTATATTGGAGTATGAAGTATGTACTTGAAATGTGGGAGAGCACTTTTGCCATGTCAGAGATGCTCATGTGCTTCTATGAAAAAATACTTAAGTTTGCCGAAATTGTACGTCTTTGGAAACTTTGTCATTGGAAAAGGCATACTAAAGGCTCCTTATACTTTGCTTGTTTAATTCACTGACCCATCCCATTCGCACTCATATGCTTCATTTTAAGTGGTTGAAGAACAGAGCAGGTCTTATCCTGCATTTTGATACTTACAGTTACTGGAGGACACTGGTAGTTTGAACAGAAGAATTGAGAATAAACATGACATGTGAGGACAGAAACTTCTTGAGCAAATGTGACATGATGCAAGTGGTAGACTGGGATTTGAAGTAGGATGGGTGACAGCTATGGAGAGAACTGATAATGTTTTATAGAAGAGGAGAGACTAAGGGTGAAAGACTGAGGTTACATGAGTAGTTGGTTAGGCGCAAGTAAAGAGAATTTGGGACTGAATAAACAAAGAGGATAAAGAGAAAATCCCCACAACAGACCAAAACTCTGTGCTTGGAGCAGGAACCTGTGGAGTATGGAGCCAGGAGACAGGAACTTAGGATATAAATGTACCCTGTTATAAATATAAATGTAACTAAACTTGCAGCATAGGTTTTGCTTTATGAGTACCAGGGAGAAATAGACGTGTGGCTGAATTTTGGGTAAACTGAATCCCTCCTTTAGTCGGAATATCCAGGCAGAGGAGTGAGATTGGCCAGGCATGAAGACAGAGACTAATGGGCGCAGAAATGCAGAGCTAGGATGGGAACTGGGAGGAAGGCATAAAAGCAGGGAGGGGAGAAGCAGTTGAGGGTGGCTGGATAGCATGTTAGACAGTATTCCCTTGCAGAATCACAAGCTGAAAAAGCAGTGTGGGTATCTCAGAGCTCTGCCTGTAATGGAAATCCATTGGCAAATCATATACCATAGGCTTGCTCACAGAGTGGAGGTAATGCTGACCTTTACTGAGTTTACATGAACTCTGTTAAAGCCTGTTAGAGTTTGAGATCCACGGAACTTCTGCATGGCATGTTAAATTTGCACAGAATCCATTTGAGATTTGGAAAAGGGAGGGAGAAGCTTCCCTTTTACAGAAATAAAAATGCAGCTGAATCTTTGACTCACGGGAGGAAGTCGTACACAAGATGTAGTTGGAAAAAGTTGGCCAAAGGAGTGGGCATTATAGAGGAACTGGTATAAACTAGATGGTTTCTTCTGTGCAATTTTTGCTGTTTCCAGATGTCTGCAATGGGAATCTGCACTGATTTCAGTTATTGAACAAGGGACTATTTATTGTGCACGCAAACATCTTTCACTAGCATTTGCCATTTGTTATTGTGAGTTTAAGTACTACTGACATAAATACCCTAAGACGATTTTGTTGCGGGCTTCTTTTTGTAAATCAGTTTCATTTCTACATTATACTGCATGCTTACAGCAAAAATCAGCTGGGAATGAAGGATCGGGAGCTGCCTTTTTGATATGATAGGTATCAAAATGTAACATTGAAGCAGTGTTAGATTTACTTTACATAAATTATTTTGAGCATTTTCTTCCTTAATGTAGGGTTTCAAGAGCTTCAGTGTGTGCTGCCTTACATAAATGGATCCATTCATTTTCTATTGAATAAATTTTAGAATGTTTTTTGGTGCTTAATGATCTTTCAGTTTTTCTAGAAAAAAAATAGCTCTCACCAATTACAAAATCACATAATACAATTGAACAAGGTGACATTTTAAAAATATTACAGATTTTTTCATTGAAATAGCTTAAATATCTTCAATGATAACCTCTTATGGTTATTTTCTTGTATTCTATTTTGAGCTGTAGTCGATTTGCTTTATTTTATTCAAACAGACAACTCTTATATGAGTAAAGACCAGCATGGTTCATCATCTGAGAGTGAAGATGAAGCACTGGGTAAATATCATGAGGCCTTGTCTAGAACCCAGAGTTCCAGGCTGCCAGTGGTGGATGGCAGACAGCAAAAAAACTATATATGGGAAACCAGACAAAAATATAGTCCCCTGTCTGCAGAATATGATGGATACAGTAGTGAAGCCTCAATAGATGAAGGTAAGAGTGATTTAAAAGCATTCCTTTTATTCCAAATTTCAGAATTATGTTCTGGATAAGTAAGTGCTAGATGAGGACAGCTTGACTTGCAAATAGTCAATGTCCGCAAGAAGTATCCAGATATCTTTTATATTTGTGCATGCTCCAAAAAAAAAAAAAAAAAGGCATGGACTTGTGCACATTCTTCTGGAAATGCTGCAAATGATATTAATATCTTATTATATTAAGTTTAATATAGTTTTATCATTAGTTATTTTATTTTGGGGGGAATTTAAACTGTTTTGATTTAGGAAGGAAGCATGGCAAATCTTAATGAATTCTGTGGTATTTTAAATACAAAGAAGACATGTTATTCCTCTGTTGATAAGCCATCATAACACCAAAGTAAATGGAATTGGTTATTGGTTATGGTGCATTGCAGTGTGCATTGCTGCAATGTTCTGTATCTTTTTTTCTCTTGAAATCACAGAAATAAATTATTAGAAAGATTAAATCAATATAATTTTTCCATGGAGTTGAAAGTTGGATGTTAGCAATGGATGCTTTCTTTTGTGGTATATATTTCTTGATTTTAAGTAAGGGTGAGAGCCTGACATAGAGTCAGAGAATTCTGCTGTCAATATTTTGTCAATATGCTTTTTGTGCTTGAAAATAGCTACATGTCAGAAATGTATCTATAGCCATTTTCTAGCACAAAAAGTAATCGTTGGTTGAAGTCACTTCAAAGTCAGACTAATACGGACACTGTACTGAGTAAAATATGTATTGGTCTCACTTTAATATGTTAAAGTGGAAGGATTTTTTTGAGAATTGGTGTTGTCTAATAAAAAGTGGATGCACGTAATTGAAAGTCATGTTCTATACTGTCCAGAAGTGCTTGAAAAAGGTTGAATTTTTCTACCATGTGATATAAGAGTCTGTTTCTGTTTGCCACTGAAATTTGAAATTAGTGCATGCTCATTCGTGATGCCAAGTTAAGACTCAAAGGACATAAAAAGCATAAATGAAGTAGGTTGCAGAGTAAGACGATTGTTTTCTGATAATCAAAATTTTCAATTCTTTCCTTAGCTGTTAAACTAGGATTCAGAGTTCCAGCAAATAGGGAAGGAGATGTAGATGTGAGGTCAGGCAGTAAGAAACAATCCTTGGACACTGTGATGGAGAATGACAACAAGGAAGAGGGATAATGAAAGATTAGTGTTTGGTTTTTTTATATCTACTGAAAACTATCAACAGCATTGGTGGGGGGAATATGAAAGATAAGATGCTAATTTTTTATATGGCTCATGTCACTATTGGGAAAGAATGGTGATGTATATTAACAGGAGTTGGAAAGCTCAATAGTATTTATTAGTAAATAATACCAGATACATATTTTACAAGACTACTACTTTCAGATACTGAGAATAATGTCTTTGTCTTGCTTCAAAATATTGAGGCTGCTTGATAAAATGATCATAGAATAATTCATGTTGGAAGGAGCATGTGACATTCCTCTTTCTGTTTCACAGTTGTTCAGGTTTTTACTCTGGCTCTATAAGACTTAAGCTCTGCAGATGCTGTACTAGCCAATATCTGTGGGGTTTTGGTGTTTTAGTTTTAAATAATTGTCTGTCTTATCATCCTCTCAGATCATAAAAAGTCATAGTCGCTGACTTCTATCCTTTTCCGCGAATGAGAACTCCAGTCTGGAAATCTATATAGTGGTTAGAATCTAAGGCAAAAGAACCCTGTTGGCAAGTCCAAGTATTGCATCAGGAGAGTTGCAATTCTTTCCCCCACCTCCTTTTTCATTTTTTCATCTCCTGCTAAAGATATCTGTCACCAGCTGCTATCCCTTTGCAACGCTATTTCAATTCAGGAAGCTGGCTGGATGTAAAACCCGTTTATATATATGCACACACATATTCACTCTAAAATTAGTATATGCAAATTGGATTTATTATAATGAAAGAACATTCAGGGTTTGGAAAAAAAAAATAAAGCAAAAACAATCAAAACTTTCTAACTTAGAAAATTGTAAAATTTTAACCACATACTCCTACTTTAATACTGTCAATATTTGGCTTTTGCTGCTGCTTGTGAGAACATTCTCTTCCTATATTTTACAGGGAGTGGAGAATCAGCAATGTTACTTATTTGATAGCCTGCAATCATTCTACAGTTTCCTGCAAAATGCTTTCAATTTAGAGTGATGATTTTGTCTTGGTTTTGTAATCCATTAATATCTACAAAATTATGTTAAATAGTATTAAAAAGAGCTTTGTGGTATTGGACATGGCAGCAGATTATCAACCCAGTATTTCTTGCTTTTCGATGACCTAAAGGTGGCACACTAGAATAATTAGTGTTAGTACTTTCATTGTTCTACCTAAATTATTTCAAACATAAAAGACAGAATTTTTGCACAATGATAGAAATGTGTTCAAATAGAGGAACAGACAGAGTATACCTTGATATGTTATGATCATTACAGAGGGAAACATGCCCAACCTAGAACTTTGATGAAAAGAGAAAGTGGAAACCTTATGAAGAAAGCCTGCAGTCAAAAAAAAAATGCTACCAAAATAAATAAATTGCTACCAAACAGTTCATATACGTTCAGAGAAACAGTTCACTGAGCAGATGAGGTTAAAAATCTCAGATTTCAAGCGCACAGCTTCAACATTTTAGATGTTTCAGTGCAATTTTTTAAAATTCAAAGCTTTACTGTTCCTTAAACTTGCAAAATAAATCTATATAAGACTTGATGGTGTAATCCTGAATTTTTTATTAAATAGCTGTTTTTTTTATGACTGATTAATTATTTTTATAGGAAGTGTAAAGACAAATGAGGGGGAGAAAGCAATGTGTTACTACGTACTTTATTTAATATGAGAAACAATTGACAGTATATCTGACTTCTAAGACTTAAGCATTTCAGCTGTACTTCCAGCTTAAGGCACCAATCAGTCCATACATTGAGCAGGGCTCAATAGTGTTAGTGAAGTGATGAGAGGAGATAATTCATTTTATGTTTCCCGTCTGCTCATTGCTAGTAAATCAGCCTCTGATGATATCATTAAAAATTCCATCAGAGGTAAAGTAATATGAGCAATGGAAATGGTATTTCATTTGGGGAAAATTCTGCATTATTTTCTCTTTAGCAGTTAATGTCTATCACATATTGTATCATGCAACGCTGTGCTGTGTGTTTTCAAAGGAGTCAATAAACAGTTTTACTAATAACTGTTTACTCTGCACTTTAATCTTCACTTTTAAAATTTGTCTGTTTAGACACAAACACTTAGTGCACACAAAAAATTTTACGAGGCAAAAATATAATCTTGTCTTTATTAATACACCCTGTAAGCTTTGCTTGCATTGCTAAAAACATGTATAATATTAATACGTGTGCATTACTAAGACCACCAAAATGTCTGATCATATTATTTTAAGGCTCACTTATTATCAGTTGCATAATTAGTTTATTACATCTGTTTTCTGGCTGCGTGCCTCTAAAAATGTTTTGTTCTGAAGCCTGAAAATGTGTGTGTGAGATGTGTTCACATCATTCTTTTCTCCTCTAGATGGCCATATTAATCTTTCTTTTCAGCATATATATATAGAACTAACATGGCACTTTGTATAATATCTCTAATAGATAAAGAAGAAAGCAAGATACTTTGTGGGTTGTGTTGGTGGGTTTTGTTGGTATATTTTGATGATGGAGTGTTCTAGTAGCACTTTAATTCATTCTACGAAATTTAGGTTTTTAAATTTTGATTCACAAATACCTGCTTATGACTAGTGTCTGATCCACTTTACATATTTGTATAGCACATTTGATGTACTTAGATTTTGATGAGTTTTAATATTGATTAATATTTGATGAATTTTAAATGAAAAATAATGTTGTGCTTAGATGGAGGTATTTCTACAGACACTGTCGTAAATATGTAACTTTTGCAATTAGCTTCTCATGGACAGGCTTAATTCTGGACTATCTCTAAAGGAAAATCTAGTTCGTTAGAAAACCAAGAAGATGATAAACATCCTCATCGAAAGTAAGATGATACAAAATGACCAAATAAATGGTACAGATGGCAAAGTAAAATGGTAGAGAGGATACTTTTACACCTAAAATTTCCAACTCTTGCACAAAGGACTCAAAACTGTTAATCACAGAAAAGAGAGAAATCTGTATAGCTACAGTATTTCTTGGTACCTATGTGTGGACTTAACCCAGTCTCTGTGCTGTTCTAGACCTAGAGTTCTAGAGTTGGCTCAAAGTTTGAAATCTTATTTTTGCCAATAATTTTCGTTGTATTCTTTCTCATGTTACCCAATAAAGTATGGGTAGTTACTGAAGTGACCTTTTCACCTTTTCCCTGATACATAGAATCAAGGAATATTTTGGATTGAAAGGGACCTGTAGAGGTCACCTAGTCCAAAGCTCCTGCAATGATCAGAAACATATTCAACTAGATTAGGTTGCTCAGAGCTCCATCCAATCTGAACTCAAATGTCTCCAGGGACAGGGCATCTGCCACCTCCATGGGCAACCTGTTCCAGTGTTTCACTACCCTCATTATAAAAAATTTCTTCCTTCTGTCTAGTCTAAATCTACCTTCTTTTAGTTTGAGACTTGCCCCTTGTCCTATAACAACAGGCCCTGCTAAAACGTCTGTCTCCCATCTTTTTTATAAGCCCCCTTTAAGTACTGAAAGGCTGCTATAAGGTCTTCCTGGAGCCTTCTCGAGGCTGAATAACCCCAACTCCCTCAGCCTGTCCTCACAAGAGAGGTGTTCCGTCCTTCTGATCGTTTTTGTGGTCCTCCTGTGGACCCATTCCAACAAGTTCACATCTTTCCTGTGCTGAGGACTCCAGAGCTAGCCACTCTCCAGGTAGTCCAGGTGGGGTCTCACGAGAGCAGAGTAGAGGGGGCGAATCACCTTCCTCAGCCTGCTAGCCACACTTCTTTTGATGCAGTCCAGGATATCGTTGGCCTGCTGGGCTGT